GAGGGAACCTTGCAAAACGTCAATATGTGACGAGTTGGGAGTGAGAATGGGTTGGACAATGACAATTTCTCATAATATGACTTAAAATGACATTGTGACGTTACCTCATTATTGTAAAATACAAAGTCATGATTTTTAAAATACATCATATCGAGTTTCAAAGTTATGATGACATTTAAAGCCATAAATACCTTGATTCTCAAATAGGATTTTGAAACTAATTTTTGAAACTTTAAAACTCATAAATATGACATTAAAACCCAGAATTCTAATTAATGACTTTAAAACCCATGTAAACGTTTTTCTAACTCATATTTGTGGACTTATAATAATAACATTAAAACTTAATTATGGCATTAAACTCGTATTAGTGACTTTAAAACTAACAATTAAGACTTTAAAACTCATTAATGACTGTAAAACTCAATGATGACTTTAATCAGTTAAATTTATTTTAACTTAGTTAAATGTATTTATGACATTAAAACTTATAACATTAAAACTTCACAATATTGAATTTAAAAATCCTAACAGTGACATTAGAACTCACAATTAAAAGCCAAAATAAATAATAAATTCAAGGTAATGACTTTTAATTTTATAATCAGGACCTACAAGCAGTGATTTTTTTAAAATGTGGCAAAAATGTGCTTCCATACACTTTCAGTCAGTAGAATCTTTATCCTGTTATTTATTCGCCTCACGGAGCTCAAACTGTCAGGAATCACTGATGAGTCCCAAACAAAAGAGGTCAAACACCTCCACCGGTAGGGAAACAGAAAAACGTCCCTTAAAATGGCAACGTGTCCAGGAATAACTTATCTATAGCTGCGGGCGGCGGCACCAGGTCTTCCAGTTTCAGGTAGAAGATCCTCTGCAGGCCCTGGATGCACAAAGTCCTGAGTTCTGGAAGCTTCTCCAAGAGTCTGGACAGGTGGTTGTTCCAGCGGGTCGAGCCTCCTCCCTGCGAGCTCCCGCCATCCTTCAAACACCTGACCACATTATTCTGCAGCTCCTCCACGCGCTTCGGCTCCTTCAGCCCATGGCGCTCTGCATGTGTCAAAAAAAGAACGTTCAGGGTTTAACAAATAGATTATATGATGTGTTTAGACCAGAACAGATAACACTGGAGTTAATGTATGGATCAAAAAGAAAAAAATTGTGTAGGTCTTCTGGACAAGTTCTTCTCTAATGAAACGTTTCGTCTCTCCTCCAAGAGACTTCTTCAGTCTGAGAGTTTCAGGCAAAATTCAGGCTTTTAAGCCCTGCCTCCATGTGAC